CGTATTGTTTTCCATGTTTTATCTAATATAAAGAAATAGCCCACTAAATGTGGTTTTGGGTATTGTAGTTTGTTTGGTTCATTTCTTACATAATATGGGTATGCGTTGCTGTTACACTTGATCCAAGCATTACTATGTCTTACATTGAGAGGGCAATACAAAGTATTATTCTCTACTCATTGTTCTTTTTCATCTAATTAAGTCTATTTTCTTTCATCCTTCTCTCCAACACGCCAGCAAAGTATATGTGATTCTAAGAGATATTTATTTTTTTGCAATGTGCATTGCTAGATATATGTTTAATAACCTTGAAGTGATTAATACCTGTAGGTATTAAAGAGAACCTGCAGTGTATGGGATACCTGCAGGGCTCTGTTCTGTATGTAATAACCTGAAAAAAGAACCACTTCATCATCTTGAAATATATATATATATATAAATAGAGAAAAATCTTTGCAAGACAGCACCTTAGAGGTCCTCAAATCCAAGTCAACATGAAACGATAGAGAGTGGACAACAAACAAGGGAATATAGTGTAGTAGACTGATTTTTTTGTGTGGAGGAAAAAGGTAGAATTGCACTTTCAGTGTTTGGAGCTTTAAATGTGTAAGTACAGCTGCAAACACTGAAAGTGCAATTCTTTATATATATATATACACTGGACAAAATTATAAACGCAACACTTTTGTTATTGCCCCCATTTTTCATGACCTGAACTCAAAGATCTAAGACTTTTTCTATGTACACAAAAGGCCTATTTCTCTCAAATATTGTTCACAAATCTGTCTAAATCTGTGTTAGTGAGCACTTCTCCTTTGCCGAGATAATCCATCCACCTCACAGGTGTGGCATATCAAGATGCTGATTAGACAGCATGATTATTGCACTGGTGTGCCTTAGTCTGGCCACAATAAAAGTCCACTCTAAAATGTGCAGTTTTATCACACAGTACAATGCCACAGATGTTGCAAGGTTTTAAGGAGCGTACAATTGGCATGCTGACTGTATGAAACTGATAGAAACCATCTCAGGGTAGCTCATCTGCATGTTCGTTGACCTCATCTCGACCTATTTGCAGTTCGTCGTCGTAACCGACTAAAGTGGGCAAATGCTGACATTCGCTGGCGTCTGGCCCTTTGTAGAGGTGTTTTCTTCACGGAGGCATCCCGGTTTTCACTGTACAGGGCAGATGGCAAACAGGGTGTATGGCGTCATGTGGGTGAGCGGTTTGCTGATGTCAACATTGTGGATCGAGTGGCCCATGGTGGCAGTTGGGTTATGGTATGGGCAGGCATATGTTATGGACAACGAACACAGGTGCATTTTATTGATGGCATTTTGAATGCACAGAGATACCGTGACAAGATACTGAGGCCCATTGTTGTGCCATTCATCCATGACCATTACCTCATGTTGCAGCATGATAATGCACGGCCCCATGTTGCAAGAATCTGTACACAATCCCTGAAAGGTGAAAACATCCCAGTTTTTGCATGGCCAGCTTACTCACCGGACATGTCAACCATTGAGCATGTTTGGGATCCTCTGGATCGGCGTATATCACAGCGTGTTCCAGGTCCTGCCAATATCCAGCAACTTCGCACAGCCATTGAAGAGTAGTGGACCGACATTCCACAGGCCACAATCAACAACCTGATCAACTCTATGTGAAGGAGATGTGTTGCACTGTGTCAGCAAATGGTGGTCACACCAGATACTGACTGGTATTCGGACCCCTCCGGACCCTCCGGACCCACCCAAACCACCCCAATACAGTAAAACTGCACATTTTAGAGTGGCCTTAACCATGTTGTCTAATCAGCATCTTGATATGCAAGACCTGTGAGGTGGATGGATTATCTCAACAAAGTGCTCACTAACACAGATTTAGACAGATTTGTGAACAATATTTGAGAGAGAGAGGAAGAATTGCACTTTCAGCGTTTGCAGCTGTACTTACACATTTAAAGCTCCAAACACTGAAAGTGCAATTCTATCTTTTTCCTCCACAAAACATATCAATCTGCTACACTATATTCGCTTTTTTGTTGTCCTCTCTCTCTTGTTTTATGTTAACTTGGCTTTGAGGATCTCACCAAGGTGATGTCTTACAAAGATTTTTCAGTGACCTGTATGGGGAAGGCCATGAATGGACACAGAAAGTCTAAACTGAGAACGTATGAAATACTGTGGCATAAACTCAAGAGAGCTATTCATGAGAGTAATAAAAAAAAGAATTATGGTGTGGAATGATAGTGACTGAGCAGACATCATTTGAGAGCTCTGGTCTGACTCAGCAGCAAAGCCTGATTCTTTGCCAAATCCCAGAATACATTTAGCTCATGCATCGCTATGCTCACCTGTGTTGATACAGAGAAGAAGGCAAAAAAGAGGAAAGTTCCTCCTCCGGCATGATCCCTAGATATCAGGGATCTTCTCTTATAAGGCCCAAAGCAAGTCCAGTCTAAAATGATGGCCACCTGATAAGTCTTCCTTGGAGGAATTCTCCTTGGATATCACTGATGAGCTGTTGCAGAGTGGGGTATTACACCATGAATCTTCTTCTGAGGACAAAAAAACAGCTACAAAGAAAGATATTAATTATTTGCTAAAGGATGCTAGACAACTTTTTCACGTGGATCTCTCCGTTATTAGAGAAGATGTTCACATGCGGATAGGCCATGTAAAAGCACTAGAGTAAGACTCTCACCAGACTTCTATCCACACTACCAACACACAGTTAAAAAAGTCTCATGAAGAGCTGCTGCTGAAGGTGTCATTAAGGTCTGAGAGACTCGGGATTGCACATGTCACTGGATCACTTAGTAATTATAAAAAACCCAGAGTGAGAAAGACAAACAGATCTATAAGATTAGGCAGAAAGAGGCAAAGCAAGTTTTAAGAGCCTCTAGATCACACACAGAAGAGAGAATAGGACAGTCAGTAAAAAAGGGGGATAAAACATTTTTAGATACATAATTAAGAAAAGGGAAGTAAAATAAGGATTAGTTAGATTAAAAACAAAAGAATGAAGGTATGTAGAAGAGGAAAGGTCTATTTGACTGCCTCAATGAATATTTTTGTTCAGTATTTACAGCTGAAAATGAAGGAGAGGGACTTCAGTTAAGAAAAAAGGACAAATTAGTCATTTGTTACATGTGAATTTACAGAGGAAGAGGTTCTAGTTCAACTATCAAAATTAAAGACAAATAAGCCAATGGGACCTGATGGAATACACTCAAAGTTATTAAAAGAACTTAGTGGTATACTAGAGTAGCCCCAGAAGATTGGGAATTAGTGAATGTTGTAACCATTCTAAAGAAAAGTAGTAGGGAGGGGGATATGATAGAAACAGGGGGGATATGATAGGGGGGACAGGGGGGATATGATAGAAACATTTAAATACATAAAGGGAATCAACACAGTAAAGGAGGAAACTATATTTAAAAGAAGAAAAACTACCACAACAAGAGGACATAGTCTTAAATTAGAGGGGCAAAGGTTTAAAAATAATATCATGTAGTCGACGCATGGAATGGCCTTCCAGCTGAAGTGGTAGAGGTTAACACAGTAAAGGAGTATATGCATGTGTAGGATAGGCATAAGGCTATCCTAGACTTAAGATAAGGCCAGGAACTAATGAAAGTATTTAGAAAATTGGGCAGACTAGATTGGCCGAATGGTTCTTATCTGCCATCACATTCTATGTTTCTATGTTGTTATGATCACAACCATCAACCTTCTCAACACAGCACATCGAAGTGGAAAAGATTACCCTGCTCATATAATCTGCCTTCTCCAAGACTACACCTAGTGCTTTAAGACTGCACTTAGAAGACTTGCTGGCTGAAATCTATTATACTAGTTTGTTTTATTTTCCTTTTCTCAGTTTTTTTTTGTTCTGCTTTTACATAGAACACAAGTAACTACCTGTAGTCAATTGAGTGGATTTTAGCCATAGATACTAGAGAATATGTTTTGTCTAATTAGGCTTCTTTGCTTCTCACCCCACAACTATTCATGCTATCGCTTGGTATTTGAGCCTGTTGTTAGGTTGTATCCATGTACTACCAGGCTCCTAATCTAGGCTACAACAAAAAATAGTGTCCTGCTGACTACGTTTGTATGGTGTCATTGTCTCTACTGTGCAATAAAGGAGTGAATAAAAAATAAATCAATGCAATAAACCATTTTTGTATGAGGGAATGGTTTCCTATTCTGCATAATCATTCCATTCATCTAACCACCAGGTGTATTTTGTGGAGGTTACAGCTGCTAAATAAGGTTCTGCGATTTGTAAAATAAAAGGACTGACATATTTTCTTAACCTACTTTTATCAATTGGTGTTAACAGATTTTACTTCTGCCCCTAGTATTTTTCCATCCATCAATAAGTAACTATAGTCACTTGAACGTACCTTTTAATGGGAAATCAGTAGACCATTAATGATCATGTATCTATTGATTGCTTGCAATATCTTGTATTTAAGGTATGTTATTGGTAACTAGCAACTGAGTTGACAAATGTAACCTTGATCTGGTGTTATAATTGATGTAAAGGGATTCATTTTGCCCTTAACTCATTCAAGATACTGAGCTGAGCATATATCTGCTCGGTTTCACTAGATCTTTCACATATAATGGTTTTACTGAAAGCATCTAGCTGAGATGTTAGTGTTGGACTCATGTTAGAGCCTTGACAGGGCAGGTGAGCTTGAACTTTATTGGCCATTGCAGTGGTATTAAAAACCTCCTGTAATTTAAATGTTAATAGGGATTTGGAATAGTGCACAAGTAACTTTTCTTTTTGCTTTTGTTCTATGTATTTGGGCTGATGTATACTGTAGCCATTGCTTACTGCTGCCCAGGAGTACAGGGTGTTTGAGAGAAGGGCCCCCCGCCCCTGCCCACCCTCCCCCATCCAGAATGAGTATTATGAGTGTGGCAAACCTAGCCACTTCGGACTGCTATGTTACATATATATATATATGGTGTTATCCCTTTAAGATTGCTTGCCCATGTCTGTATTTGTACTTCACTGATCTGTAACTATATTCCCTATGTGCAATGTCGACAGGTAAAAGTGCAGAGTTAAAAGCATTCGTGTGTTTCTAACCGCCAGAGTTCAGCTGGGATATCCACGAACAGTGAATCTCAACACTGTTCGTGAAAACAGCAAAGTACCGAATGAGAGACCACCCCAGCAGGTCGTGTGTCTCCCATTAAGTACTTTGCAACATTGTAGCCAGGTCCAATTAATGTATGTTGCGGGTGGCTGCCATTCGCGTACCGAACACGTGGCGGTGGCCATCTTTGTTCTCGAAGACCCAGCGGGGTTTTGCTGTCGAGTGCCTGGAACTAAAATTGGCTTCTCGGTGGCAGGAGCTCCGCTGGACTTCCCAGCCATTCGGGAGATTTGCCCTTTCGTGTAAATGCATCCTCTCGTGTGATCTCCTCATTGAGACCTGGTTCCATTAAAACAGTATTATGTGTGGCGTTTGCCTATTTCTGCAAGGATCTGAGCGGTAATTCGTGAGATTGTGCACTCAGATCCCTGCAACCTAATGAGGGGTCATTCGTGTCAATATGTTGGAAATTACCGAAGTTATATATTTTAATATAAAATACCAGAGTTTACTGTATCAACTGGTAATATAATGATCTGTACTTGATGATGTCATTATTGTCCCTGTATAGCAGGGGATGCTGGGAAATTACCTTGCATGGTCAGTCTCCCACACAGTCCACCTGAGTAAAACCCCTGCTGTCCCAGTCTAGAGACCCTGTGCAGGGACAACCGTATACATTGGTGACTTGTCATTAAAGCCTCAGTTGACTCCCAGAACTGTGTTTCATCCGGTTACTGGGGGATTTGGGATATTGCCTTCATTTTCAGCGCTTTCCTTGGATTACTTTCTGTACCAGCGGAGATATTGGGATTTAATATTGCAGCTCCGCTACAATGAGTATGAGTAGTATAATAAAAGATACATTCCTTATGATGTATTCACATTGACTGTGCTGGGATTTCACCGACATTCCAACCCAGCCAACAGATATAGTAAGACAAAGTATGGACTAGTTCATTATAGTATTTTCCTACGCTTGACAATTTTGACAAAAGGCTGAGTGATGACTGAGGTGAGAAAGGTTCTGTCTATGGAGGATCCTGTGGTCTCACAGGATCTTCCATAGATCTCACTGTAGTACTCAGTGAAAGTACAATGTTGATATTTGCTCCTTGCAGTTGAAGTGCCAGGAGAGGAGCATAAGAAGACTGTCAAGATGGCAGTGAAAGACAGGTTCAGGTAAATATAACACACCTTACCCTGCAACTCCCGACCACCACGCAGAGTCATTTTGTATGTTTGTATTTGCGTCTGTATTACACAGCCATGCTACAAAGGTTAATACATACATAGGGTTTAGGAAAATATATCTTGCTGTCTCATTAGAGATTTTACCTTTTAGCTAAAAGCAGCAAATTGATAATGTAGGACTCACCTAAGAGCTTTTCCTTGATGTGGCAGGTGATCTTACACTTTAATAACCAGTAGAGTGACACTAAACACTTTCTGTTATTTAAAAATGCAGAAGGATTGGATCATGTGCACATAATAGAGTTTTATTGCTTTTGATAAGGGTATAGAACTGATATTTCTAGACTCGTGCATGATGGAGAGGTTTAGTACAAACAAATTATCTCCCAAAAATTAAAATTTTGTTGGATGTCCTACGCTCGTTTATGTGATAGTTCAGTATTAAGAACATTGGACAAATCAAGAGAGGGTAAGAAAATAATACAACTGGTGTACATTGAAATCTATACATAACATTGCCTTTTATTCGGTTCAAAGATCAAGTGAGAAAAAGTAACCATAGAGGGAAAAAGATAAGGAGCAGAAAAATAAATCTATATTTATGTATGATATATATTCAATACATAATTTATAAATTTATAAATATAGATCTGTTTATACTGCTTTTCTGTTTTTCCCTCTATGGGCCACTTCTCACCTGATTTGTGAATAAAATCAACATGTAGTAGGTGTCTCTTAACCATCAATCAACTTTTTCCAATCAATCATCTTTTCTTTTTTCATGTCCGGCTGTAGGGCTAGTCATTTGCATATGGCACGTAAGAGAAACGGAACTCGGCTTTATAGAATTTCTTAGATATACCTACCCATAGAAATATGAGAGAGAAAAGGGGGACTTATTACATACATATACAATAAAACAAAAAAAAAGTGTCATATATAGATAGAGGCTAAAAATAAACAGCAAACAGTGTTGCCAATCTCACCGTGAACGCATGCATAAAATGTTTAAAAGTGATCCCTGACCAAAGGTAAGTGAGCAGGTAATATGTACAAAACTACCACATAATAATATATCCAAGATATCACTGAAAGAGAAAATGCTAAAAATAGTGTAATACAGTATGTGCCACAATAGGTAAAATAATCAATGACTTAACTGAATACATCCCACTCACATTTCTTTAGCACGTATTATACAGTATAAAATAAAATGTGAGTGGGATGTATTAAATTAAGTAATTGATTATTTTACCTATTGTACAGAGATATCTTGAATATAGTATTATTTGGCATTTTTTTTTACATTATATGTGTGATTTCATTTTACACTCGTTCGCTATTTACCATTTTTTTGTGTACTGTATCTATTATAAGTTACATAAAATCTACATTCTAGCAACGGATTTACAACATTTATTGTGGTTCCCATCGGTACCTAATCCAATACCCATCCATGATAAACATTTTTCTCCCACCTGTAGAAACCAATTTTAGCAGTCATGCTCCTATTTAAATCTGTCCGCTGGACTGCACATGTTCAAACTATCAGGTTTATTCATTACTCAAATGTGAATGGTCTGTAACACGATTAAGGGATTTCAGATTTTAAGTCAAAATAGCTTAGCTGGACAATTTTCTTTGCCAAATCTAACAGCTACTGTATTTCCGTCAATAACAAAAAAAATCTTTTAAAGGAAGAGAAGCACCAACCACTACAATCCGGTGTATTGGTTATGGTATCCTCACAAAGTAAACTGTTTGAGTAGCTTGACCATTTACTGGGGTCCTACTGACCACCCATGGCTGCACTGACATTCTGCATTCCAATTCATCTGCCAGGACAATCCAATTAGCTCCACTGATCTAAACAGGGTTGCTCTCGTTGGCTGAGGAGATCAACTGGGTGTTCCCAGGAAAGTTATAAAAGCATTATTAAGCAGTTACACAAATTACTTTTGGGATAGTGGGCTGTAGTGGTTATGGTGCTTTACAATACACAAAACTATTTTGGAAGACACACTAGAAGTCCTCTATGTTTAGGTTTTGCAAAAAGTAGTTTTCTATTGAAATAAATATTTTTATATTATAAAGTATGTTTCTATAATTAATGATTTGTTGTGCAGATGAATACTTCTCTTTGCACATTTTACATTATACTTGGGGTTTATTCATCCAGGTATCAACCACGGTGTAATGTTATATCTCGTCTACCTACATATATCTACCGACAATATCTAATTATCTAACTTTTTACTTAACACTTGCTGTGCCAGGGTTGTATGCATGTTTCGCCCACTGCCATTTCATCAAGGGTTAAATCGACATCACTTGGATAGTGTCCTTCTCCTTTCACATTTACGATTGCTTATCATGTTAGTGCTTAAACAGATCCGCTGCTGGAAAAAAAATGACTCTTATCTCATTTCATCCATTCTATCTACTTCCTCATTTTGTTTTCTTACAGAGGAAGAAAAACAAGCAAATCTGTATGCCTAAAAATATCAATACAACTAAAAAGCTTTAGTGTCATTAGTATTTTCATAACATTAGATATACAAGCATGTAAACACATCACTGTATTAATAGTACATCTGACCTACAAAACCAGAGCTTATAAAAAATAAAATAAAAAAAAATTACATTATGCGGTTTAACCTGTAGACAGTGAACCGAGAAATGATTTTGGTAAATTTAACCAAGTTGAAAAAAAATATCATCTTCGGATCACCTATGTTTTCAGCTCGCCATTCCTGGCCCATATTCTGCAAATCTGATTTTTAATTCACCACCATTCACTGTTTAGTAAACGAGCCCCCTGAGTGAAACGTAAACAATCACTCACACCGCATAGTCTTAAGGCTCCACGGTAGCGCAAATGTATTTTGCCGAACTGCCATTGTTACGTCCGACCAAGCAGCTGTTGCACAATGCTCAGAGTTCAGTAACCATGGCAACAGAGGAGGCACCCTCATCTCTATCCCCAGAACGACAACACGAGCAACGTCTATAGCAGTCTAACAGTGCACTGCCCTTATCAGTATCCACAGAGCCTAAGCTGCAATCTCTGCGCTGCAAGCAGTTTATCCTCTAGTGTCATCCTTCTTGTATGCACCAACTAAAGGCACATCAGTGCTGGCATTCTTCCCTAGTGTGCTTCGGACACAGACATTGATAATTCCAGGGAGGGATACTGCAGTACTCATCAAGGACCCAGCAACCAGGTAATGTCTCTCCCGAAGCCCTGCAACTGTTTTATAGGATTGTGACACATTTAACCTATTGGGTGCCGTAGAGGTCAGTGTGTTGCAAAGCACACTTCAGACTCACAAAGGGTTAATCTTTTATGCGAAAAAATTAGATTTGTTGGGGGGTGAGGGGGGTGTGAGCGATATAATACTGGAACCACGAGGCGTCATGCATATGTAATTTTCAATTTATGTAATCGTCAATTCATTTCATTGTTTTGCCTTAAAAGAGACTTTCTTATAATTATCTTCAAGTACAGAATATCTGATTGTGTAGGCAATTTCATCGTCATCATCATATATTTCAGAAATCATTACATTTTATGGAGTTTAAAGAGTGCAATGTTAAAAAAAAAAAACAGCTTCCAATAAATAAACTTCTATTCTCACATTTCTAGGTATTTTTTTAAATCTTGATAACTGATGCAAACTGGATATGTTTGCTGTGCTCATAACTCCATGTTGTCTGCGTGTTTACAATATAAGTTAATCATTTTTAGTTGTTGCTGTATAATAATAATAGCACTCATTGAACCTGTACAGAGCGGTATTCTCTATGTTTTTCCTTCTAACCACCAGGAAAGGTCTCACTGCAATGGCCATCAGTTATTTCACAAGGCAAAGCATATGTAACATCTTCTAATTCATTTCTTGGCAAAAACATACCATTTGGACTATAAATGAAAGGGTACCTTGCCTTTTTGGTTACCTATCACTGTGCTACATTTTATGTCCTATACACAAGCTGCAAAATGAGAAATATTGATCAGTGTATTTTTATTCATTAATTAAAAAACCATAATTTATGCCAGTCTTTTTTTATGCCCACATTCAAACACACATGCAGGACTCAAAGAGTTAACTCTATAATTCCTAATAAGGTATTATGAAGCTGGAATTATATCATACTTTTCACTACACAAGCACAATTATTGGGATGATCAGCTAATGTCTTTTACAGTAGAAGAAGAAAATATTCTGTTTTTATTAAAATGAATTAACAGGGACTATTCCTGTATTTCTTATTCCATATAGATTCTGTTACTTGATTTACACGTGCAGTATTAGGCTATATGTTTTGCATGGACTTTCCCCCCTGGCATAAACTGTTTTGTTACTGGATACAATATCTCTGATCAGTAAATGGCAGCATTTAACCCCTTCATCACAAATAGAATGTGTATAACCATTTGTCATTAATGGGTTAAATGACTAAAGCAAGCCTTTTATTTTTCTCTACAAACAAGATTATGTGCAATTTGTCTGGATGCGTTCTAGTAGTATACACTGCAAGGGATTAA